CACACACACACACACACACACACACACACACACACACACACACACACACATTACAACAGTGGTCATATTGCCACACATCAGATTAGATCTGAAAAAATAAAAGACTTCTCTGTTACCTGCTCGGGTTTCTCCGGCCCTCTCTGCACCTCCTCAGGGGACTCCTTCTGTTCCTCTGCCGTCTGATGAGGATCCAGAGGTGGGTTCATCACCGCAGATTGGATTTCCTGGCCGTTAGCCGTAGAGGGACCAGACACAGGAGGACTGTCTCTCTGGGGCAGGGCCTTCTGAGGGTCTGCAGGTGACTGAGGATGAGGATGGCGGGGCGGCGGAGGAGGATGATGATGGTGCTTACTGGAACCGGGCCTGTCCTTGGACCTGACTGTGGACTTTCTGCAGTCCTTGGACAGAGTCTTTGGACGCTGCTCGGCGCCGTTGGTCCCACATCCTTTGAACCCAGGAACAGGGTGCTCAGTTTCCCCTCCCGCCGCCCTCCTCCCTCGTCCTTTACCCTGCCGCTCCTTCTCCTTCTGGCCCCCGTGGGACGGATCGCACTTCTTCCCAGCTCCGGCAGCATTGTGGTTTCTCGTGACTCGTGTGTCGTCCTCTCTTCTCCGCTCCTGACTCCGCTTCCTGACTTTTTCATTCTCATTGGTCTGACGGAGGCTGGCTGGCCTTTGAGCGTTATTCTCTGTTTGATCTGAATCCTCTGTGAGTTTAGCTCCATCCAGCACCTCCTCTGACTCGTCTCCATCTCTGAGGAGGAGCCTGTCCCCCTGGACCTTTTTCGGTCCCTCCTCTGCTCCGTCTCCAGCGATCAGGACACAGTGTGACATGAAGCGATGACCTGCTTTGTGCGATTTGACATCTGATTGTGATCCCTCGCATTTTTTGGTGCCGTGCCGAGCTCTGGGGGTGATCTGTTGGGCTGAGGCAGCAGAGCTCTCAGGAATGTTCTCCCCTCCTGTGTGCTTTATCTCCTCAGGAAAGTGCTGCTTGTAGTACCTGGCGTTCAGATGCAGCACCTCGTCGTAGTCCTGCTCGACATCGGAGCTCACGTTGTCGTACTCGGAGCAGGCATCCTCCATGTCCTCGGGACTCGGGTAACTGCGAGCTGCAGGAACAGGGGGAGTCAGCCGGCCATCGCAGGAACGAGACGCTTGCTGAGTCGCCTTTTTAACCGAGCCCTGCTGCTCCTCTTGGCCCGAGCCTGTAAGTCCTGCACCAGGGCACGGCAGAGAGCTGGGAGCCAGAATCCTGGAAACGTTTCCTGGTTGTTTCCCATGAGCCATAGCTGGCCCCTGAAATCCACTACCCTAAGCCCTGAGAAAAAGACAAATATTGATATTTCAGACAAAACTAAATTGTCGTGACGATTTCAACAGAACATCATTCATCCATTTTCTCATTCTGTTATAAAAGTTAGAAAACAAACATGTTTTAGTGACAACAGACAACATCTGATGATTCAGAATTCACAATATGGTTTTCCTGTTTTTTGTCTTTACATACAGTATGTTTTTTAAAATCTTAGTGCTTCTAGTTTGAGCTGTTTTAGCCATTCAAATGAAAACAAACAGCTAAATCAGACAATGGGTGCTATATTTGGGGTTTTGTAAAATATACTTATAAATATTCTAAATGTTTTTTTGTAATTCCTTCACAGTTATTGTTGACTTTATGTATCTTTAGATTTTGGCTAGCCTTTAGCTATTTTTTTGTTCTTGATGCTACATATTTTTTAGCTTTCAGTTAGTGTTTTGCTGCATTGAGCTACAGCTCTACTATGTTTAGCTTGTAGCTGGGCTTTTGCTCTTTTATGAAACTGTTCTTTACCTTTTAGTGTTTAGGTACCCTTGCGCTGCTATTCAAATTGTGTCAAAAGTACAGACTTCAGGCTAGACATCAATTTTAAAGTTCTGTCGATAGTAAAACCGGAGTTATGATAAATAAATTACAGAACATTAAAAAGAACATTTGTCATATTTGAAGCAAAAAGGAGCATCAAGCGGACTGATCAGAGAAATCTCCAGTCAGTCTGCCCGGTGGCATTAATCGTATTAATCGTCAAGTGCCAAAATATAATCGATTAAAGTTTTTCTGATGATTAATTGCACACGATCAGATATTGCCCAACCCTGCTAATAAATTTCTGACAGTGTCTTGCTACTTTTAGTTATGGCTCTGCTACCTTTAGCTACTCTTTTACTACTTTTAGCTTTCAGCTAGTGTTTTGCTAATTTAGATAGTTCTGCTACTTTTAGCTTTTATCTAGGGTCTTGCTCTTTTATGAAACTATCATCTTTTAGCAAGTGTACTTTTAGTTAACATTTTTGCCTCTTTTAACTTTTAGCTTTTTGTTGTTTTATTGTTTTGCTTCTGTTGACTTTTTGCTAAAACTGAGCTTCCTTTAACTTTTAATCAGTTTTTAATCTGTCAACAAAGACATTCAGCAATCAAAATTCATGCTGCATTTTCACAGAAAATTACAATTTTCTACTTAAATGTTTCTTTTTCAAGCAGAAACTCACCCAACAGATGAATTTAAATAAAGTTTCTTCATCTCAACTTTTATCCTCAGCAGGAAAAAAAAAACAATTTTGGGTTTAATAACAAACAGAAGACCCTTGGGAAAAGAATCTACAGCGTTTTTACCCAAAGTGCATCATCTTGGGCCGTCTGTTTACGCTCAGTGTGTCTGCTTTCTTTTTGTTTTCATGTCCTGCAGAACAAGAAACCAGCAGTAAAACTTATTCGACATGCACAAACTCAGCCCTGAAATCTGATGAAAACCAGGATCTTTTGTCTGAATCACTTTTCTGACATAAATTTACTTGATCTGGATTAAAGCAGAAAGCAACAAAATGCTACTTTTTTACTGTGTTTAATTCTTTGAGCCAAACCCAATGTAAGCAGGTTGCACAAAACTACACTAAAACCCTATTTATTAGTTTTTATCATTGTTTATTATTGCTAAAATTCAATTGTTCTTGCGTTTTAAATAAAAAAAAGTCAACTTCTAGTATATTTTGTGTGTTTAACTGTACTTGGGGAAAGATCGTTGGTTTTCATGACTATAGATTTTCAGCTAATTGAATCATTAAACATTAAACATACGCCAACAATTTATATATTTTCATACCAAACAAACATACAAGCATCATGTGTTTATGACAGCATCTGTTTTGTTTGGTTCTGTGGCACTGTTTGGATCCATGAGGTCCATCAGATCCAGTTTTCCTCACTGATCTCATGTTGAAGAAAAGAAACAGTGAAGGCTGTGTCACAGCCCAGGATAAACATGTCACACCCTCCTCTAACAGTTTCGTCTTGATGACCAAAAACAACAACATTATAAACACCACATCATACACAGGGGAGGCAGCGTCGATCACATTAGATTATGGCATCATCTTTACAATTATAATCTGTAAACCCTGCATACAGACCTAATCGTGACCTCTCCTTGGTGCTGAACTGGACATTAAACCGTTTTGTGAGCTTTCTGGTGCGGTTTCCCTGCCTCTGCACTGCCCTTGCCGTGGTTTTGATGGCATGTCGGAAAGCCATTACGCTGAACTTCTTTCTTACCGCAGCCTGCAGGGGGGCTTGTTGTGGGGGTGGGAGGAGGGAGGCTTCTGCCCACCGCAGATCCCTCTGCCTACATGTCGATAAGACAATCAAATAAACGGGCTTTTTGTTTCTTTTCTGTTCACTCAGACGACGATGCAGCGCTCACGCGAGTAAAGATGCTGCTGCTGCGTTTCACATCGACCTTGATTTGAAGCATCGGGACTGCGGGGCTGATGATGATGATGATGATGATGATGATGATGCTACAGCACCACGCACCACATCCAGGCCTCCAGCTCCGCCATCTCAATAGCAACACCTCCACATGCGTCCCTATCATCTGCCCCACCACCAAGCCTCCACATACAGGAACATGTGTGAGCCACTTACCGACATTAGGACTGTGGGCGGCCCTCTTTGTACAAAACACCGCGTGCGTTGATCAGAGGAGGAGGGGAGGGGGTGGGGAGCGGAGGAGGAGGAGGAGTGATAAAAGCCACCGCAGCCGCCCAGGAACCTGTATAGATAATAATAACAATAATCCCACTTTGCTTTCAACACAAAACACTTCCATTAATATTAAGATATTTAATATTAATATTAAGACATTTAATGTTTAAATGATGTGTTACCTGTCATATCATGCTGTGATGCATTTATTATAGTTGTGTGTAGATAAATAAACATATTGTGTGTTTTTCCCTATACTGTATATGACAAATTTTAAGAAATGTGTGCACACTGGCACTTTTATTCAAAAATATTTTTGTTTTGTTTGATGGGGAAACTCAATTAATCTGGGATTGGTTTTGAGCCCTGAAAAGAAACAGGAATTCAGTCAGTTTTTTAAAAAAAATGATTTGAAAGGTTTGGACTCCAAATATTTTCTGCTTTCAGACAGTTTTCGTATTTGTAGCTCTACTGTTGAGCCAATATTTCAATCAGATTTGCGATCCCATTGTCAGGGTATAAACACAGTCTGGCTGCCAGTGGCTACATTTAACGTAAAATTATTTTTAAATAAGAAAGAAATTACATTAATATTTTATGAAGGTGCATTCACAATAAAACAGAAGAATAAATGTCTTAAAAACTATGGAAAATCACAAGATATACAAAGACCCTTCATTGTATTTATTTATTATTGTGTGTTATGCTGAACATCCCTAAATGTCCATTTCTGCTGTTTAAAACTTTGCCCTTTAATATTGTTCTGTGTCAAAGCTGTGTTAAACGTTGAACACCACATTCTGTCATATTTCTAATAACATTGCACACAATTCATTTATCAATATTTTTGCTTAATTCAGTGTTATTTCAGTGATTTAGAATACCTGTTTTCTTCATCACACTGACAGGTCTCCTTCCTTCCTTCCTTCCTTCCTTCCTTCCTTCCTTCCTTCCTTCCTTCCTTCCTTCCTTCCTTCCTTCCTTCCTTCCTTCCTTCCTTCCTTCCTTCCTTCCTTCCTTCCTTCCTTCCTTCCTTCCTTCCTTMGTTGTAGTTCCTGCCACTACTCTTGCTGGGGTCCATACATTAAACGTAAAACAAATCACATAGCATACATAGTTCACATAAATTCAAAACAAAAATAAATAGGCAATAAACAGACTATAAATATAAACGCAAATATAAAAATAAAAATAGAGGCCACAGATTAAACATGCAGAATAAAGACAGGATACAAACCAGTCACAAATTTTCATTTACTATACAAAAAAAAAACATTATACAAAAACAGTATTAATATGTCAATTAACACCCTGAAAAATCATACACAATCTATATAACATAAAAAAAAAACATTCAACATAATTGTTTTCCTTGTAAATATCTTCTTAAAGTTTTTCGAAATTAATTTTCCTGATGTATCTCCAACATGTTTTAGGTAAAGTATTCCATAAAAACATAAATCTATATAAAGCCGACATCTTCATGGAACCTGTGTGAACTATTGGAGATAATCATGTACATTGGCGCTAAAAACAATTTAAAGTGTAATAATCTTTGGCTGTTTTGAACTAATAATATTTCTTTTAGTAATATTATTTTAAATATAAACCTAACTTCAACCCTTAACCAGGATAACGTAACATGCATCATGCTGACATTACTTCTGAAATATAAATTTGCGTGACGGACTGGAACAGATTATAGTGTCTTTCCCAGATCCGACGTTTTAAACAGACCTTGAACGCAACAACAATGGATCGCGAGAATTTAGTCCTTGCTAACACAACACTGTTTAAATAGATTTATACAAAAGTAAAAGCTCTCAAACGAGAGCCAAGTGTTAATGTTCGCGTAAATGATCCGGACCGGTTCGGTCGCATCGCCACTCTGGACTCTACTGGTTTTGCCTGAGACGCGGGATTGTTGTTATCGGCGTCGGCTAGTGCTGCTGGGTTAGCAACACGCTTGTCAGGTTGTAACTTTACTTTTTGTCCATTGCGTTGTTTCCTCTCATATTTAATGGAGCTTCTCACAACATTTTATCCTTCGTAGAGAATGCGTCAGAAACGAGCTGATAGAAAACGTCGTTTTGAGCGAGTTTCACCGCTTTCAAGATGACAGAAAGAGCTAAGGACAAGCTAAAGCCGAGGTTGTCGCTGTCCAGGAAGAAGAAGAAGAAGAAAGAAGCTGAGACCTCTGCCAGCAACACTCCAATCACGTCGTTCTTCAGCAGCCAGCCTCCACCGAAGCTGGCCTGCCCTCTGTGTGGCCAGCTGGTACCGAGATTCGGGATCAATGAGCACATCGACCGGCAGTGTGAGAACTTTGACAGAGGAGACAGCCCTCCTGATGTCGTGTCAAACATGTCACCTAGAAGCAACCCCCCCAAGTCTCCAGAGCTGGAAAGCAAAGTGGAAAAGGGAGGATCAAAAACGAGCCCATACTTTAAAAATACCTGTCAGCAGACCCCACGAGAGATGACCAGCAAGACTGTGGTCCGGACTATTGGACTGGGGAGTCTGTCCTCGAAGTTATCCAGAAAATATCACAACACACCTGAGGGGCAACCCACAGAGGACAACACTGCACCCAGCGAGATGCTCTGCAGCTCTCAGAAGGAAAATGTCCTGATCCAGACATCACAAGACAAGGAGGACTTTAATGTCTCCAGTGTGGACTCTCCGGCAGCATTGTGTTCAGAAACAGACGCTGTCAAATCCAGTTCTCCCTCCAAACCAGCAAAGAGGAAAAATGAAATGACCTCCGGCGACACAAGTTCTCAAAAGAAATCAAAACACGAAGAGAAGAGTGGAGAGCCGGATCAGGCTCGGCGTGGATCTGAGCTACTTTCTCCTTCTTCTCGTGGCCCAGCTTTGAGTTCAGAAGAGGCGTTTCAGAGAACGCCTGCAGGTGCTGCGGAGAACCAGAGCCCCGACGCCGCTCCGCTCCCCTACTACCTCCGTAACTTCCTGACCGTGCTGCACGCCGTGCTGGAGAACGAGGACGACGGGGCTCTGTTCAACCAGGAGGACATGTCAGCTGTGCGTGCTTTTGAAACTTTACCAGGTGTGTTCACGCAGTCAACCAAACGCTTTAAACAAGTCATAAAATAAAGAGAGGAAAATGAATGCCTGTTTTTTTTTTTGTCTCCCTGAAGTCACGGCTCAGAAGCTGTATGTGAGGCTCTTTCAGAGGAAACTGAAGTGGCTCCAGGTTAATAAACTGGATTATGAGGAGATCTGCAGTAATCTGGGACCTGTTGCACAGGAGCTGGTTCAGAGTGGCTTTCTACAGAGCGGTAAATAATCCAAATATGTATAATATGAGCTGAAACATCATCTTTTAAATGAATGGATTTCTGTCTGCTTCTGTGTTAAAGAGGAGGACCTGAAGGACCTGAAGGAGTCTCTGGATCTGCTCCCGGCTCCTGAACTGAAAGCTCTCGCTAAGACCTTCCACCTGGGCGGTTCTGGCACGCAGAAACAGCAGTTAGTGGACGGGCTTCTCCGCCTGAGCAGGCAGAAGTCTGTCTTCTGTCTGGCCTCTGCTCGGGGCAACGTCGGGACGGTCATCCTCAGACGGTGAGACCAGACGGATCTTCATTCTGTGTCTGTGGGAAGTCCAGGATGGAGGGAATGATCTTTTTTATTTTATTTATTTTTTTTAATCAAAGGGCGAAGCAGCTCGCAGGCTCCTGTGTGCGTTTGTCCCGCGGTCCCCGGGCGGTCTTTTCTCGCATCCTTCTGCTCTTCTCCTTGACGGACACTATGGATGAGGAGGAGACGGCCGCTGGAGGGCAGAACCAGCTTTTTACCATCCTGCTGGTCAACTCGGGACGTCTGGCCTTCCCGGACTACACCGTGCAGCGCCTGGCCAAGGTGTTCCGAGACAGAGAGGATCTTATCAGGTGGGGGGAACTCCCAGAAAACTTTTTTATTTTTGTATTTAAAATAATCAAGATGAGCAGGAATCAGTGACTCCACCCATCACACCAGATATGAAGCGTCCATGCGAGCTCTCCTGGAGGTTACCACAGAGATGCAGGGGGGTCGGTGGGAGCTGGCTCTGGAGCTGTACTCTGCTGCTAAAACCACCTGGTGTGAGCTGAGGACAACCCAGGACCTGAGGTCAGGAGCGTACAGATCTGTCTGTTCCTGTCTCTGGATCTCTGCTTTCTGATGGTCTCATTCTGACATTGTGATTGTGTTTCAGTCACCAGGAAGAGCTGCCCGTGTTCCTCCGCAGCTTCACTACAGGGTGGGCTTACACTCGTATCTTATCCAGAGGAGTGGAGATTTTACAGAGGCTACGCCGCTACCAGGTTTAACTCCCTGCTCGCTTATAAAGTAAATGTTTGTAAAGCTCCAATCTTTAACAATAATTAGATTTTTTTTTTTACATTTTGTCACAGGAAGCAGTAGAAGAGCTGCGGTCCTTACTAAAGCAGTGCGTCTACTGTCATGACAGCCGTGGGCGATGGTGGGACCGGCTGGCACTGAACCTTCACCAGCACCTGAAACAACCTCAGGAAGTGAGCAAGTTTCTGTTTCCAAACTGTTCATAAATTCATTAATCATTTCGTTTTTATTTGGTTTTTAAAATGGGTCCTTCTTGCTCTCAAGCAACTCCTGTTTCTGTTTCACATCATAATTCTGTTGTCCAGCAGTGAAAAAACGTTTTTTCTTTATCTATGAGTTGGAGGGGCTTCACTCTGACCTGAGTCTCTGCAGAGGGAGAAAGAAAACGAGTATTTAATTTGTAATTTACTGTCAGATTAACAGTTCTTTTAGATCGACAGAAAATTCATCATCATCATCCTCAGTTTAGGTCTGGTTTCATGACAAGTCTGGGTCCAGCTGCTCCCCCGTCACAAGAACATATAGCCAAATTTAATCATTTTAGCTACTATTCAGGGTTAGATCTTAATGTTAGCTACTAGTCAGGTTTAGGTCAAAGTCTTAGTTACTACTCAGGGTTAGGTTTAAATTTTAGCTTCTACTCAGTGTCATGTTTAAATTTTAGCTACTATTCAGTTTTGTTTAAATTTTAGCTACTAGTCAGGGTCAGATCTAAATTCTAGCTACTAGTCAGGGTCAGATCTAAATTCTAGCTACTAGTCAGGGTCAGATCTAAATTTTAGCTACTAGTTAGGTTTAAATTTTAGCTACTATTCAGTGTCATGTTTAAATTTTAGCTACTATTCAGTTTCGTTTAAATTTTAGCTACTATTCAGTGTCATGTTTAAATTTTAGCTACTATTCAGTTTCGTTTAAATTTTAGCTACTATTCAGTGTCATGTTTAAATTTTAGCTACTATTCAGTTTCGTTTAAATTTTAGCTACTATTCAGTGTCATGTTTAAATTTTAGCTACTATTCAGTTTCGT